GCTTTGCTTAGTTTAGGTTAGGCTTAGGCTTAGGCTTAGGCATAGGCTTATTACGCTTAGGCTTGGGCTTTTCTAAGACTTAGGCTTAAGCTTAGGCTTGGGCTTAGCCGTAGACTTAGGCTTTGGCTTGGGCATAGGTTTAGGCTTGAGCTTGGGATTAAGCTTAGCTATTTTTTTAAGAAATTCCAGGCAATTTTCATACGTCCGAAAACCTAGTTTGAAACCTAATGTCAGATCAAAGGTTCCCGGGAGGCATCGAACTAGAAAATGTGCATAATATCAGCCAGTACTAGGGATTTTACGCACTTTTCTAGGTCCACGCCATATCGGGGGTTTGGGATGGTGGGAAGCGAATGAAAAAACTTAAGCTTTTTTAGACGTATCAGCGATGTCCGAGATGCCCGAAAATGTACCGAAATCTAGAAGCCAAAAAACTGAAACATCGAAAAATCGGCAAATTCAAAAAATTTGGGCCAGCAATCGATTGGTAGAGAGTGTGGGTGAGCTCGGTGGGGTGTTTGGTAGGCTTTTTGGGGTAGGGGCTGCCATTGCATGATTCAGACGCCAAAAACAGCCACCGCGTACCCTTTTGGCCCGCGCGTAACGCGTGGGAACGAGACAGCGGATGGTGGGAGACCGAATTTGGCATCTTTCTGGTTAGCAGGTGTAGCTTTTGAATTCAAGTCACTTGGAAGGCTTCGAAATCTTAGGCTAGGCGGCTTAGGTTGAGGCTTAAGCTTCGGCTCAGGATTAGGTTTAGGCTTAGACTTAGTTTGGGCTTAGGCTTATGCTTAGGCTTCGGCTTAGGCAAAGGTCTAGGCATATGCATGCTTAAAACCGCATACAAATCATGGAGAAGAAAGATAAGGCTCCTTTAGCCTTTCTAAGCAACTTTTTTTTTCTTTTTTGCTTTTTTTTCGGATTGGTTTTGGCCTAAGCCTCGGTTTTGGATTTAAATGAGCTATTTTGGTCAAACAAAAAAAAACTTGCTTGCTTGAAAGCGGAGGCCTACAAAGTACAGATCATCTCAAAAAAGCTTGTAAATTTTCTACCTAACCCATTAAAAATGTTAGCTAACGGCCGCATACAAGTACTAATTATACACAGTCCAGCCTCGCAAGCCTTCCACTCCGAAACACGTACCTTTGTTGATGCCAAAATATCGTAGTTATCCCTAGAACAGCCTAGACGAGGCCCCCGAATTTAGGCCAAACTATTAGAGGGGGAGAATGAGAGGAGGGGGAGGGTTCGAGAATGGTCTGGTGCCCATTTTATGCATTTTATCTTATCACTGGGTTCGGGGTGTAGAGGAAGGCGTGTGTGGAGGCACCCAAGCCCCCTAGCGGGCCCCCCAAGGGCAACAAATGATATGATAGCCCTAAAAGCTCGAGGACGAAGGTCACCAATTCGGGGATCTTTATTCAAAAAGGAGCGGCTTTAAAGGAACCAGGAAGCCATGGCTTTTCCGGATCTTTAGCCGCAACGCATCACGCAATCCGCACGCTACCTGCAAGCTGGGAAGCGCGCGCCGCATCCTTCTGGGCGTTTTCGGAAAAGTAGGGGTAACGCACTGGCCTACCATTGTTCCTGATGTTCCTAGCCAAGTCTTAGCGAATTTGGATGGTATTTTTTTTAATAGAAGACAGCTACAATTCTAGCTAAATCAAGTATTAAGAAAACTCTTAAAAAAAATTAACTTGAAATTTGTTCCAAAAAACGGCCATCTTGTCGAAAATTCTATGTTTTTTAAACCACCCGGACAAAAAACGCCAAATTTTATTGCAAGCAGCATGACAAGAGACGAATGCAACATGACAAGACGAAAGCATCGGGTCAAAAACTTATGAAGTCATCACAAAGCGTAATCACAGCTTATCCTTAAAAAACAATTCCACTTTTTTCGTTATCTCGGCGAATTCGAGGCCCGTCTGCAGCCGAGAACCGATCCATTTGGAGAGCTGGTTGGAGACGGATGGTGAAGCGTATCTAAAAGCGTCTTGTAAATCTTGATAATTAAATTTTGAACTTGTAGTTCATAAGCCTGTAAATTTAACGTCCTCCATAAATCGTAAAGTCAAGAATCACACCTCCGATCCAAGAAAAAGATGGCCGAGTAGTCATTACGATGGCGAATGGCTCGTCCAACAGCCTGATTAACCGCATGCATACACATCGATTGGTAAAGTTGAGCGCCGGAGCCGGGTCGCAAGCTGTCCGCGTACTAAAACAGCAGATTTTGGCACTTTTGCAGTATCGGTGCGGGGGGGTTCTGAGCCCAGATCACCTAATAATTTAATTGTAAGCCTTTCAATAGCGTTTTTAATAAACAGTCCAAAAAACCTATTGAAAAAAATCCGAAAAATGCTAAGAATTTGATATCCGAAATCAGGCTACGTTTCGGCGAAAGTTCGATATTTTTGGGTATTCTTTATTGTTGTTAAAAACCGAGTTGTTTATACCCTCTAAATCATACCTTCAACCGAGCATTCAGCTCAACATCTCCCTTATTAGCATACGGAAGCCCGATGATGATCACGGCACGGCAGAGATCGTTCGAAAAGTTGATACCTAAAATATTTTTAGCCTTTTTAAAAAGTTACACCAACCTTCCGATAACTTCCCACCAACGACCGCAAAAAGTAGCGCGCTCTTCCTCGTTTCGATCGCTTTAGAATATCTAAAACGAAAGTTTTAACGTTTTTAAGCGCATTTACTTTTCCCACACTTCGTTCGTCGTCGCGTCGCGCTTCTCGTAGAACACAGGCTTAAGGCGCTACAAAAAAAAAAAGATGAAAAGCAGATGTCTAAGACGCACCTCCAACTTGGCGAGCACACCATTTGTCCTCGAATTCTGCATGAACGCTTCCATATAGTTGTAGCTTGGAACGAACACCACGACGCCAGTGGGGACAAGCGAGACCTGCCATAAAAGTTATGGAAATCTTATTAAAAACCACCAGCTTAACAATCGATTCCCCAAGAGATCTGCTCGTTCTTTGATCATCTCTCGTTTTGAAAGTGGTCTCCAGTGGCTGACCATCGATTGATTTTTCTAAAAAATCGTTTAGCCTTAGGTTAATAAAACATCAAATTATACAATTTTTAAAAACACCAGCAGAGCTTACCAAATGCAATCGCGCAGAGCTGGTCGTCATCAATGACGTGCGAGCAGGCAAAACGACGAATTCGCGAACTCGGAAGGCCGGCGGAAACGAGGGAATCGACGAGGAACGATGAGGGCTCCATCGTACCGCCTGAAAATTATTTTCGAAGCGGTCAGTCAAAAAGCCGCAAAAATTCAGAAAAATTGCAAGAAAATGCTTAGAAAATTGAGATCGTCGGAAGAAGCGATAACCAACAACTCCAAAAACCCACCAATCATGATCGTGGACCTCGGCACCGCGATCGTTCGCATCAATTTCGAGCCGGCGTTGAACAGGATGAAGCGGACCCTAGTTTCAAGAAATGCATCAGTGAAAGCTCGAAAATTACTTTGCAACGCCTTCATTCTTGACCACAACGACACGCGCATCCTCGCACTTGTTCGTCAGCGCGGTCACCATCGCGCCGATGGCGTAGATATTGACGGGAGGGGATGGTGGAGTTGGCTTTGGGGCTGAAAACGCAAATTTTCATTTAGTGCTCAATTTTGATGAGGTAACGTTCAAAATAAAAACTTCTCCTACCTTCTACGGGCTGTAATGGCCCAGCCTTGGCCGACTCCTTCTTCCGCATCAACTGCTGCAGGGGCGTCTTTTTTGGGGCGATCGGCACAAGCGCTTGGCTCTTCTTTCGTTCCCTATAAAAAAATATAGTTTTTAAAACAGAGGAAATTTCACCTCAAATTAAAAAGGCACAACTTCCGGCACAACAGCGTTGCCTTGATGTAGCTGGCCAGCTTGTAGATGTTGATATCTGTCAGGTTGGCCTAAAAACTTGATAAAACAACGTGAGGAGGCCAACACCTGAATAAAAAATTCGGGAATCGACAGCACAGACTCGGTGGTCGTTGAACGCTTCAGAAAATTGTCGACACGTTCAAGGAACTGAAAATAAAGAAAATGAAATATTATTATCTCCTTGCCATCAATAGCATCCTAATGTAGAGCAAATTTTTGGCTTTGAATCGCTGTCGATACCACTGGACATATGTCCGAACGGCAGAGAGTCCAGCGGCAAGTGTGGCTTGCAAGACTTCACCGCTGTTCATTGCCGCTGAAAAATGAGACTTTTTGGCAATTTTTCTATATATACCAATAGAATCCAGGACATTGTGCGCCTCATCTAGCACCAGCACATCATCGCGCATGTCGATTCCCCAGGTTTCACGGGTTTCCTCGTGGAGTACAACCTAAATTAGAGATTTTCAAAGTTTTAGCTAGAATTTAGCTTTAGACGTTTTAAAAGCCTGTTAAGTATAGAAAATACCTGATATGGCACGAGAACAATCTCACACAACGGTATCGCGGCCTTGGAAGCAAAATAGGGGCAGCCGCCAACCTTTTGGCCCTTCTCAAAGACTTGCACCGAGCGAATATCCTGTCCTAAAAATATTATAGAATTCCTAATAACATAAAACTACTTTTTCACACATCAAAATAGACCAATATGTCTTTCATGATCTGGCGAAAATTTTGGCATACTTTATACCCATTTAGCACAATGGGGAGTGCCAATAACTAAAAAAACAGCCTTACCAGCCAAAATCCCGTTGGCCGTATCCTCAATGGCTTGCGTCTTGTAGTAGGGGCAGGAGCAGGAGCTCTTACATTTTGACTTCTAAGAAAAATGTAGTTAAAGCCCGAATTTTACCCCTTCCTCGTCCTTGGCTCTTTTCCCCGCCGTTTTCGGGCTGTTCTTCCGCAGTTCCATGCATTTCTCATTGATTTGGCTGCCGTTTTTCAACTTGCGCACCTCTTCATTAACGCAGAGATGCTGTCTCGAAGCTGCCGTAACGATCCGCGGCCGGAATCTGGTTTTCATCAGCTCATCCACAAGCTGGTCAAGCTGCGAATGCGTGCGGCTAGCGTAGAAAATCTAAAAATCCATTTGCCTCTTTTTAAAATCCCACCTTTCGCACTCTCAATGGTGTTCCTTTTTCCTCTTCTTTTCCTGCTTTCCCAGAATTATCATCCGAATTGTAGTCCGCTGGCGGCGCACACTAAGAATATTTATATATATTTTTGAGAGTTACCTCGTCCTCAGCCTCCTTTTTCTCGCTTATAAATTCGTACTCATCCAGTGGCCCCGGGCCTCGTTTTTGATTCTTTCTCACTTCCCCGCGCTTTGCCCGTGCGACTCGTTCGTCGATTTTACTAAAAGAGCATTTCATTAAATCAATCTGACTAACCGTAACATTTCCAAGTGTGCAAATGCTTCATCGGCTTCACCTTGAACTTTCAGCTTTTGAGCATGAGCTTTGACCCAATCGGACCCATCTAAAATATCGAAGTCAGAAGCAGGTTTTCAGGATCATTACCAGCTTCAATCTCCCCTTTCTTCTCTTTCTCTTTCTGCATAGCTTCCTCCATTTCGGCCCTCACACGTCGGTTCTCATATTCCAGCCAGCTCAATGTCGCGCAGAGAACAGAGAGCGATTTCCCGGTGCCCGTTGGGGATTCGAAGATTCCGACCTAAATTTATATTGCTCATAAAAATTAATCCAAGAACCTGTCTTCTTTCGATGCATTGAAAAATCTCGTTCATCAGGTCATTTTGAATCGCATATGGAGGGAAGGGGAAGGAGTAGTCTCGCTCATCGGACTCCATCCACTAAAATCTAATTTTTATTGGCAATTTGTAAAATACAGCCGGTACAGCCTTTTCGAAAAACTTGATAGGTAGGTGGGTACCTTTTTATTGCTATTTAATTATTTTACAACAAAGATGAGGTTTTATATTTTTGAAGAAATTAAAAATACTATTCGCGGGCGGCATTTCAAATTCCCGCGGCTCGAGAAAGGGATGAATAGGCCCCCGGATTCTACCCAAATGCATTCGAGTTGCCACAAAATTGCATTGCAACATTCTCACTTCGCTATATATTGTTTATCGTTGGTAAATAATCAATCAAACCGCCAATTTCGTACAAATCAATCAAACAAACACGCTATAATCACATTTGAAATTGTAGCCGCCGAGCATGATAGAACGAGATTCCTTTTGAATCTTCACCTCCGGTTTGGTGTCGTGGATAAAGGACTCCTCGAATTTGGTCCAAAGTGCCTTCTGGTCGAAGCGGGTAAGTTCGGCGACAAAGGCCTCAACCTCGTCGATAATCGGGCCATATGCGTTCGGATGGAAGTTGCACGAACCATAGACGTCCCGATGCATTCTAAAAAAATTAATATAAAAAGAAATAAAAGAATCAGCAATTTTTCACCAGAAACAAATCAACAAGAAAATAAATAAATTATGTATTAAATTAAACAACTCACTTCTCGGCTGTGAGCCAACAATCGTAGAGTTTGTCGAAACGATCAAGCGGTACACCGGAGTTATATAGGGCGAACCGGCAAAAATACTTGAGAGCATTATGCGATCGCAGGTCAACACCTGAAACATCCGGATTAATAATTCAAAAAAGCGAGTTCCATACCTCCCGCGGTCAAGTACAAATGCTTGACACCGTAGACAGCCGAAAACCAAATCTTCTCCGCCGCTTGAACGAGGTCGGGAGGCTGGAGGGATGCGTAGTGGCGGGCTTTTTTGATGAAATCCTTCGCTTCGTACTTCTCCATCCGCTCCTGAAAACAAAATAATTTCAAAAACGCGTTTGTTAACCCGTAGTTTTATTTCTAGAAAGCTTATTAGCATTCATCAAAAAGATTAAAATAAAGCATACCGTGCTTTCCCAATCCTTAAAATTGTCAACGATGACGTTGTCCTTGAACAGCTCACAGACCTTGTCGATGTCATCGTCGTCAACCCAGACCTTCAGGCCATTCACGAGAATTTGCTTCTGCATGTCCTGAAATCAAAGATGTTAGTAAAACTCGAGAAAGATGGAATCGGTGAAAGAGCAAAGAGTGTCACACCGGCAGGGGGTGGAACCAGTACGATGCGCTAGCCAGTACACCAAAGGGTCGAGGTATTAAAAGGTATTAAAGGTATTAAAGAACTGTTTAAAGTAATAATTTATAATAAAAGCGTAAACAAAAAATAAAAAGAATTGAGCGAAAGGCGAAAAACGCTCCGTGTCTCCCCACGCTGTCACGGCGTGTAAAGGAGCCCTGCGTTGCCGCCAAGAATGTATTAGCCGTATTTCAAAATCGATTTTGAAATATGAAAATGAAGTTTTTGAATTCAGATTTGATCAGTTTGGGGATTTCTGACCACGCTCTTCTCTCTTTCCCCTGCGTCTCTGCCTTCCACTCGAGTCCAACGCGTTTGCGTGTCGCGTCGCGTGCGTCTAGTTAAACTGTGGGCAAAAGTAAAGGAAAAGTAAATGCATTCAATGATCTGCAATTCAAATTCGCCCGGTAGCGCTTTGCTTGAAAAAAAGTGTCCTGACAAGGCTTGAAATGGATTGACTTAACCAAGTGGAACACTTCGTGTCTCGTGATCGTTTTTGTAAATAGTTTTCGTATTTTTAAATCAATAAACTTATATAGATATATCCAGTTTTCAGATGTCGGTCGAGGACGTCGACCGGCGTGCCAAATATGCCGTCATCCCGAAATCTGTCAACGAAACAAAGGTGCGACAAACATTTTTGAGTTGTACTTTCATTTTTAGGTCGTAAAACTACAGCTGAAAGAGCTAAAGACGCAGAAAGAAGTCAGGACGGTGCTGCCCGAGGAGAAATATGTTTCTGGGCTCGAGAAAATTATCGTTCGAGACTATTTTCCAGAGTTGCCGATATTGAAGGTAAATTTGCGCGATAGATCTAATATTCCGTTTAGGCAAAGCAAGACTATATGGATGCGGTAGCCAGGAATGATGTGGCGAAAATGAGGGAGCTTCAATTGAGGTCAGTATCGTCAATGGCTAGAAATATAGACAAGTTTGAAGGTATTCTACTAACCGCCGGACAGAAAGACGAACTTCTCCTCTAGCCGGCACTAGAAAGGCAACAAGTCCTATCAAAAGAGGAGTTGACGACGAGACACCGAATATTTTTGATCCGGAAACACCAGGTATCGCGAATCATTCATCTTTATTGCATCCAATTCAGGGCCTGCCGAAACAGTGCGACCGGGAAGCCCAGCGTGGAACGAGGAGGAGGGCGATAATGAGGTAGGCACTTATTTTTGGCTTTTTAATTATCATTTTAGGCTGAACTCGCACGGCAAAAAGCCAAGAAAAGGAAGAAGGAACAACTCAGCGTTGACGGCTACCTGAACACGTTTACCTCGGAGGACAACGCCTCTTTCGAGGAGCTGACCGATCTGATGGACCAGCGCGAGAAGGTGCAGAACGCGTGGATCTATCGGAATGCCGAGCGTCATAATAAAGAATTGGTAAGTTTAGGCATGATTTTTCTAGGGAATTTTTAGATCTATCGTGCCCCAGACATGTTGATGGCGGCGGATGCGCAGTTGGCGCTGAGAGATGCTCCAGAGTATGCGAAAGGTAAGGTAAAGTGGGCGACGAATAATGGTTTTAGTTAAACCAATCGAACTCGACAACTGGAACTATACAGCGCGAAATTCGGTTCTTTTCCACCCGGCTGGCGCTGAATTGACGCAGCAAGAAATGATCGAGGTGAGCTATATATTTTTTGCTAAAAATCTTTTGAAATTAACTTTTTCTTTAATTGGATTGATTACTTGGTGTCCTTCACTTTTCTTCTCTAAAAATTGGTTTAGAGGGCCGCCAAGAATCAGCGTGAGATCAACAAAGTAGCGACACGATTCCCGGGAGATTTGAAGAACAAACCGAGTGGGGTGAGTTTTGTCTTTTTATTTATATTTGTATTTTGATGCTTATGTTTTTATTATCTTTACCTTATTTCTTAGGCATCAATGGCTCGGGCCGCCTTCATGCAAGCCCAAGTTCAAGCCGGAAAAATCGACGTAACTGGCAAGGAGCTCGGCCTTTCCGATGCTGCACTTGGGATTCTTGCTACGCCAACTGTAGTGCCAGGTTTCAAAGCGTAGCATTTTTCTTGAACCGTATCCATTAGGTGTTGATGATTCCCCGTTGATGACGTGGGGAGAGATCGATGGCACGCCCTTCCGGCTCGACGGCTCTGATATCGAGCCACAGATGAGCAACGCGCCCACCTTTAAGGTAGCAATATTTTTGGCAAGATTTACGAACTTTTAGATACCCGAAATCCCGATGCGGGACCATGTGGCGAGGAACATCACCGACACGATTGCGCAGCGGTATCGCGACAAGCGACAAAATGCCATCAAAAATGCCGAAGCCGTGCAGTGAGTTTTTACTTCACTTTCGATTGTCTTTTTTTAGTAAATCCCCGGGTTTCGGGTCGAGCCGCTACTCGGACAAGCTGGCCAGAATGTCGCCGGCGGCACGGGCGCTGGTGACGAACAAGCTCGGAATTCGCCTCGGCACTGCTTCCCCTTCCCCGTCGACAACCCCGGAAACACCGTATGTTAATTTTAGAAACGCGAATTGGTCTCGGCGAATGCTGTTTATGCATGCTAATTTACTTTTCGACAAATTATCACCATTTTTTTACCTAGAGAATCTTTAAACCGTATTTTTTTTTGGAACGCGGGAAAGGTTCAATTTATTCTAATAAACATTTGTAAACAGCATTCGGGGACACGAAATTCGGGGAAAAAACTTTTTGGCGAAATTAAATACTGCAAAATCCCGACGCTTTCAGATACACGCCAAACTCCTTCAAAAGCCCGATGTCGACGTTGGTGCGCCGCACACCGGGCATGGCACGAAAGAGCACTCCTTCCGCTGTTGGCTCGATCACCGACAACTTGCTGAACATCTCGACTCCAAGTAAGCTTTTGGGTTCGGACACTTACTAAATGTTTTGCTAAAGTTTCGGTGACGTTCGCTAGTTTTTGGCATTTTAATTAATATCTTTTTACTCTGCAAAACAAGGCGAACATTTTGGTCTATTTTGCGACCCACTAACACAAAAGGAAGGCGAGAAAATTTTTAAATGTGGTTTGAGTGGTAAATGCCAAAAAGTTACCAATTTTTTTTCAGAAGCACCACCGCCTTCAACCAAAGAAAGCCCTGGCCCCTCCCCCACGCCACAACAACCCTCCACCAGCTCGTCGGGCAGAGCAAAAGCTTCAGACTATTTTTAAAAAGATTGTATGTTCATTTCTCCCCCATCAATTACTTGTGATCATTTGTTCGGGCACCGGGTCATCTCATTTTTGTTGCTATAAATCATCAGGCGTCGTTGGCAAAAAGTTCACATTTATTTGTCGATTCTGCCGATCAGTCTTTCGACCTTCACGTCCATATTTTCGATTGGCAGCGGCGGAAGGGTGTCACTGACCAGGGCATCGACAACGCCACACGCAAATGCGTCGCCGACAATGTTGGTGATGCATCGGAGACGACCCCTAGGGTTCAAGCTCATTTTTAGGCTTTTGAGTTCGGGGGGCGTTTTAAGGTTTTCTAACAGAAATAGATGAAGTGTTTCTGAGCTGCTTTTCATATTCGTCCTAAACACGAAACCAACAGATCCTACTATATATAAAAAAGTAGTGTCTGTGTGTGTGTGTGCCACTTTGCATGCAACTTCCGTCACCATGTCCGGAGAATATCTCAACAGGGAATGAATTTGAAAGTACGTATGATACGTCATTAGGGGCGTAATGGCTCTGGGATGACTGCACGCTTATCAGAATTTACAAAATCAACTGTTTTCGACATTCTATTTGAGTTTTTGTAAAAATTTCGGACACCCTCTTTGTTAGAAAGCGATTAGCATGCGCCGGAAATGGCGACAGCCTATATAATGGCAGCGAGGGAGCGTTTTTCATTATTTCTCATGGCAATTCGGGCGAATTATGCAAAGTCAAGAATTTCATTGGCTGAAGCGGGGCCAGGGTTGAAAAGTCGCGAAGCGGCTTTTCAACCCTGGTTTTTAATGAAAAGAATTAGAAAAATATACATTTTTCTATTAATTTTCAATAGAAAGCTACTCTTTTCTACAGTTTTTACTTGTTCGAGCGTATTTTATTTGTTTACATATTTTTTCCGCACAAAAATTCTAGTTTTCTTCCCCAATTTCCAGTTTTTAAAAAATTTTCCAAATTCTCTAAATCATTTTTAGCAAAAAAATACGCAGAAATGACTCGCTAGTACGTTTCTAGATACATCGGAATTTATAAAAAGAAATCCACCCCCCTCCGATATTGCACAAGCACCGGTCTTGCTTAGATTTTTTCAGCTGCTTCAACTTACATTAGCCAATCGACAGCCATCACGAGGCCCACGTCAGAAGCGGGCAAACCGAGTGAGGTGACGACCAGGATAAGCGTGACGAGGCCACCGGAAGGAACAGCGGCAGCCCCGATGGAGGCCAGCGTTGCGGTGATTCTGAATTTTTATATTGTATTATTAGGCGCGCATATAGTAATCGTATTTTTTTATAATACTTACGCGACGGTCACCACTTCCCCAAGTCCCATCTCCAGCCCGTTAATTTGAGCGATAAATATGGCGGCGACGGCTTCGTAGAGGGCAGTGCCGTCCTGAAATTTGCGATAGGATTACGTGCGTATTAGACGCTTAATAATATAAGATTTTACGTGCTTATACTTATAAAATATCGAGAACTTTACCATATTAATATTCGTCCCGACGGGCAGCACAAATTTCGTAACTCTCGGGTCGACGCCGAGCCGATCAAGGCAGCCGAACGTGCACGGCATCGTGGCCGCACTAGAAAAAGTGAGATTTAACGCGTTTTAAGAGGAGCTTAATTTATTAGATCTAAAACGGCTCTTCTACCTGCTTCCGGTCCCAAGCCCGGTGATCAGCGCCTGGCCCAGGCCCCTGAGAAATCGATATGGGTTTTTCCGCGATACCACGTAGTATATCAGCGGTAACGTGACAAGCACTTGGATTAGAAGCCCTAAATCGATCCTTATTTTTTATTATTTAACAATTTTTACCCGCCAATACGGTTAGAATGAAGACAGATAGCGTGAGGACGGTGCTGACCAAGTCGGCGACTTCAAGGAGTTTAGAGCAGATGATGGACGCGATGCCGAGCGGGCCGAACCTCAAAAAAAAACGCCAGGAAATTTTTTATTAGCTTTTTTTCGTTTTTCCGTGGTAATGTCTAAAATTTAGAATTACCACATGATGGCGGTGACCATTTTGTGGATGACCAAGTCGAGTGCGATGAAGAGGTCGCTAAGGCACTTTTTAAAGTATCTTTTGGGTTTTAGAACCTCAACGGCTTCGCCGGCTCGCCAACGATGGAGATGCACACGCCGAAGGCGATGCAGAAGATGATGACGCCTGAAAAGGTTCGGCGATTACGAAAGACCCTTTCTATCATGTTACTACGCAACCTTGCACCTTTAAAAAATTCGGATCCCCCCGATAATGCTAAAGAACCAGAAATTTGCCTACCCAAAATATTCATGCCGTCAATGTAGCGCACACGCAGGATATTTTCCGTTACATTCCGCCCGCTGGGTAAAAACTAAAATATAAATTTTAGATTCCAAAAATTTTTACAAACCAGGGTCCTGGTCTCGATTTTCGCCTGCTTTTGGGCAAACGTCGCTTGGACAATGTTTTCTGGGAACATATTACTGGAAGGTCAGTTTTTTCTAAAAATGCGCTATTTTTACCGTAATAAATCCAGTAATTTTTCCACAGTAGGCGTCGGGGGCTCGTTGCGTTTTAGGATGCGCTGGACGGCATTTTGTTTGACTTCCGGGTTGCCTGGGTGGATAAGCAAGACAAGGATAATGCCAAGCTGCAAAATTTAGGTTCTTTTGCAGTATCGGGGGGGCATATTTTGTGCACAAGATTCAATTTTTCGAGCCGAAAAACTACAAATTTATAGAAAAACACCGAAAATATTAACTTTCATCGAAAATGCCCGATTTTCGACCAAAAACGCCTTTTTTATGAATTTTGCTTAGTTTCGTAAATGGTTTTTCTAGTTTAAATATAGCTGAATGTTGTTAAAAGCACGGCCATACTACCGACAATAACGTTATTAAAAAGATACAAAAATCGTTGATAAAACTTCCATTTCTAGACTTTTCTAAGGTGTTTTTCACCCTTAAATATAGCTAACTTATGCCCAAAAACTATTAAAATACTCACAATAACAGCGTGGGTTAACGATACTCCATAATAGGCAAAAGCTCGTGATCCTATTTTGCCGGAGCTCGACGCGTCGAGTTGGGAAATACCTAAATCGAGCTACGATTTGATTTCATTGAATTTTAATAGAAACTTAGGGCTTTTTAGCGTAAGTATAAGTAATAAAGCTTACCCGCTATCAAACTAGCAGCTATTAAGGGCAATATGATGCATTTCAACGTGTTTAGAAATAATTCCCCGGGAAAGCCGATGTACCGGATAGTGCTGGGCGAGGGGTCGGATAGTCTAAAAAATATATAAACTTATGAGGGATATTTAGGCTTAAGCTTGGGTTGGGCTTAGGCTTAGGCTTGAGCTTAAGCCTATAACTTATTTAGTTACCGTACCTGAGCAGCAAGCCAAAAACAATTCCAACAAATACACCAACAATCGTCACGTAAAGCAATAGGTGTTGCTTTAATTTCCGCGCGATTCGGAGCTTTCCCATATAGATCTTTCTAAATGGGATTTTATTAGAGGGAGAGAGAGAGAGAGAGAGAGAGAGAGAGACTAGGATTTCTTAAACATTTAGATGCCAAATTTTAATAAGAAAGCACAAAAATCGACCACCCCCTACACAATTTTTCTCTCAACGCTTCTCGGTAGAACAAAGGAGTCATGACGAGAAGGTCGAATCGGGTTTCATGGTCACAAATACTCTTTAAACTCCAGGTTTCAATTACTTTTCGAATAGTTTATTTTTGAAATTCATCACATAAAAAGAGGCGGCTGGAACTGGTCCAAAACAACACGAGGGGCATCTATTTTTATGAGCCGCTGGAAATTCAGGGGTTCCCAGGTTCCAAAATTGGTTGCGGGTGCGTCATAGAGATGGGCAGGCCCGTAGCGGAACCGAAATTTCGGGGAGGGCCCAAAAATTTTGGCGACCTCCCCCCGGTCGCCACTTTTAAAACATCCGAAAATCGCGTCAATAACAGCGCCGCAGGCAAAAAAAAAGCAAAATAGCGTTCGCTACACTCAAATTCGTGTGAAAACACGGCAGAAAACGCGCCGCAGGCGAAAATTTTCTATGAACAATTGATGCACCAATAAAAAAACCAGCGCCGCAGGCAAAAAATTTTGAAAAAATAGGCTCCATATAAGTAAAAACTGTTTGAAAAACAGTAATAAACAGCGCCGCAGGCAGAAAAATTTTTTTAACTAAAAATCATAAGGGTCCCCCCTTATGAATTTTTCGGACCTCGACCGATTTCGGGGGGGGGCCCAGGGCCCCCTGGGCCCCCCCTCCTACGGGCCTGGAGATGGGCATGGTTGAAATTATCGTGAGAGACTGGCTTTGCTTAGGCTTAGGCTTAGGGTATTGAAATCGAGCTAAAGTGAGTGACGAGAAAAATCGATGCCATTTTCCGGACAGGTCTGTTTCAGGTATGCCGTGTCGCTGTTCTGCCATCCGTGCAGAGGATGGCCCCGGAAAAGTGGCCGCGTAGGCTAATTTGCATGTCTTTATCTCTCTCTCTCTCTCTCTCTCTCTCACTCTCTCTCTCGCTCTCTCTCTCTCTCTCTCTCTGTCCCTGATGTGTCAATGGGTTCAACTTTTTCAGTTCAAAAAATTTATTCGCATTGTACAGATAGGAGGAAAGAATTTGAAAATGGAAATTTGCATCAATTCTTACAAAGAAAAAGGTAAATTTGATTGGATTCAAGTTTATAGCTTAATCCCGCCCTTTCTAATATTATCCATCAACTCCATTTGGACCCATATTTGCATTAGAAGTGATCTATCGTGTGAAATAGCGACCGTGATGTTGGGGGTATTGACCCGGAATTTTTTTGAGGCGTTTTTAGCAGTGGGACTGCACATCCGAGATGTAGGGGAAGCAGATACGGTAGAAGAGGTGGGAGAGGGTCTGAAAAATTGGGAGAATAAGTTTTTTAAGCCAAATTTATGCATACAATAAACATTAAAAAAACCTAAAAATCTAGATTTTTTTCTTTTGATCAAATTTTAGAGTTCAACGCAGTTTTTCCAGGAAAAAACCATGAAGTAAACTTTTGAAATGTTTCTGGGTCTTTTTTGTATAAGATTTAAGCATAAAAAGCGCGAAAACGTTGAAGTTTTTGGTTTTTTATAGACTTTAACTTGGTATTTATGATAGTAATTTTTAAGGTTTGGGAGCCACAAATTCGAATTATTGTAATCTGTAGTGTAGTTTCTATGTGCCCACCTCCCCAATGACAATCGTCATGCACAGCCAGACGTTGAACGTCATGAAGATGAGCATCAGCGCGTAGGCGAGTACGATCTGCAAGAACTCATCGTTATTTTAAATTACAAAGTATACAACTATGTAAATTACCAAAATAAATGCTTTACAAAGTTCAGAATAGGGGCCTGGAGTTTTCAGGTGATCAAAAATACCTGAATAGCGTGGAGCGGCACGTCGAAGAGGGCGAATGCTGTGATTTTCGGGCTGAATCTACAAAAATCCTCATAAAAACAGGCCGGATTCTACAAGATTGCTTAAAATTAAATAAAGGAACTAAAATAAGTCCGAAATTAATTGTCTAGTCATTAATTTGAAAATTAAAATTAAAAATAGAAAGTTAAAACTGCAAAGTTTAATAAATTTCTCTCAATGAAATGCACAATTTCCAAACAAAACAAAGTTAAACCCGCACCTGAACCTCGACTCGGGCTCGACGAGCGCCACCTCGAGCGTGTTGCGCATGTTGCGATAGAGGCGGAAGAACTTGACCGACTCGTACAGCCAGCAGAAGAGGAATACGAGGAAGCAGCTCCAGAACATGCCTAAAGGCAATAATTATGTCTTTTCGGGTATTTTAGATAGTTAAATTTCTATAAATTGGGCCTGAAAAGCCAAAATAATGGGTTAGTCGAATTTTAAGGGGGTTTCGGTCAAAACAGAGATCGTAGCGGGGTGCCCCAGTAAAAATAGGAAGGCACAAAAAACTTGACAAATTGTGCCGGAAATTAGAGGGGAAATTAAAGCGAGGAAGAGAGAGAGAGAGAGAGAGAGAGAGAGAGAGAGGGAGAGAGAGAGAGAGATACAGAGGCAGATAACTAAAAAACTCACCCGAAGCGCTATTCGGCATCCACCAAGTGAAGAGGATCGTCTCCATATTTCCAAAATGGAACGCCATCGAGTGGCCCATATCGTGCTAAAAGAATGTATATTTTATCGTCATAAAATTTTTAATTAATAAATTATTATATAAAAGTTATATTATGAACAAATTAATAAACCTTGAACACCTACCGTGGGCGCCGCCGCGGTGGCGTGGTTGTGGTGTGCGTGATTGTGGCCGCTGTGATCCATCTGCAAAGAAAGATAATAAAAAATTAAAAAGCTGTCTGAAAAATCGAAAATAAATCACAGTTTAATCTTTAAAACCTATGTATCTCTAAACTAAATATCAGTACAAGTTGTAAAGGACCCAGGAATCGTGGTGTACAGAGGAGCGTAACGTACAAAACGCGAATGGTACTAACGAGTAAGATGCTGATTCATTTTCTGCCATTCATCGAAAAGGGGTAAGCTATAGACAAAGATCGTTGCAGGGCTGTGCAAATATTATTGCTATGGCCAGATGGGTTAGTGAGAGGGAGGTCTCGAGGAGTGATGAGGAATTTGTTTTTATGAGGATGCCTGAGCTTCGGCTTAGGTCTAGGCTTCGGATAGGCTTCGGCTTAGACTTAGGCTTCGACTTAGACTTGGGCTTCGACTTAGACTTAGGCTTTGGCTTAGACTTAAACTTAGGACAAGGCGTAGACTTATGCCTAGGCTCACGCTTTGCCTGGAATGGAAATAAAAACGATGAGCAAAAAAGTAACCTGAATGATACCAACTTATCTACCCGCCATAGCAGCCTCGATTCAAAAACGTAGCCGCAGGCAGTGCATGGCGGAATTATGGCCCGTATGATAGGGGAGAGAGGGAGAGAAACCACTGAGCGAGAGAGAGGGAGGGCGAGAGAGAGAGGGAGAGGGAGAGAGAGACATAGCAAGCGCGCACAAAAAAATAGATCTATAAAAAAACATTTAATTTCGTGATTACAGCCTAAAATCGCCTGAGTTAATCAAGCAAGGCAATACAAAAATCGATATGACACCCCGGAGGCGGGATGTTGATATTTCGATTCTTTTTTTTGGTCACCTGGAGGCTAGCGAGCCTCGTGCACACCGCACACGAACCGTAAACAAAACGCGCGAATCGCCGCCCTCAAGGCCTCATTTCTGAAAGCTGCTGTAAAAAGCTAAAGTATCGGTCAGGATTGCCGGAAGATGGGGCTACACGAAATTTGTGGCCAGTGAAAGGGTAAGAGCGCTTCAAAACACTTCGGAACTAGGCTTTGAGGCCCCCCAAAAGCGCTAAAGGAAGTGAAAACCTCGGAAAAAGCATTTTCCCCAGAATCACGAGTTCAAAAAATGTACATCCCCGCTTCCGGAAGCCATAAAACGCTATGGAGGACTGCAGGGTGGAGCGTCCAATAAAAATACAGGCGGTAAATCGGGTTTCCTGGAACCTAACAGTCAGCAGCGCATGACCCTGAATGGACTCGCCGGGCATAGGCATGATCTATTGTCGTTTTTGAACGCTACCGATATTGGGGAAACAATTACTCAAATAGTGGAGAGCTTAAAAATATAGAGAAAGAGAGAGAAATAAAGATCAATACTAAAGGCGCAATAATAAAGAATCCACTAACGAATTTAGAAAAATAGGAGAGACATAAGAAAACAAATTGGCGAGGAATATAAAATAAAAGATAGAGAGAATTCTAAAAAGGCAAGGTAAAAAAAGGGCTAAGTAACTATCAAATATAAAAGATTATAGCATCATGATTTTAAAGCCAGGAAGGTATTTCTTTAAACACACAAAAGAAAAAAGTTATCTTCACCTGCAAGCGTTTTCGTTGATTTTCAAAAAGTATATGGCTTTTTTTACAAATGAAAAGAACGCTGAAAAAATAAGGCGTAAACACTGCAAAATGAATGAATGCAGTTGCCGTTGCTAACATTACTAAAATAAGCAAAGGTCCTCCTTTCTCTCCGCCTTTTCAAGTCTTTTTGGCCCCCTAGGTGGGCCTTGCAAAAATTTTTTCGGGGGTTTTTTACCCCGGGACGATGGCCCCAGTACCTTTCTAATGTGGTGAATCCCTGAGAAGACCGAAGCACACCAGACGCACGACAAAGTCGACCGAACAGAGCACCCAGACCAACTAGAGCCACAAGAGATCGGCCAGCCCTAAAGCTGTTGCCGAGAGGGGAAAGGGGCTGGCACATACATCCTAGGTGTGGGCCAGCCGGGGGGCGAGTCGGGGATTGGGATCGAGCCCCCAGGGAGAGCACAGATTTTCGTGATTTCGGCGTGGTGTTGGTATTTTTTATTTCTTTGTGAAATATGGTAGGATTAGATTCTTAATCAATTAATAATATGTAACTTTTACACTAATAATTGTCGATAGCAAAGCGGTACCCCAACTCCTGTTTCTCCGCTCCCAATTGGGCTACAGGGCTGTAAAGTATACCAAAATGTTCGTCTTGGTCTAGAGAGTACGAATACCTTACAACTGAGTCCAAAAATCAAGAACGATACAAAAAAATTGAGGTAGAAAGGGCGTAATCCCGGTTTCGGTCGAGCGCAACATTAGAATTTACTACCTTTGCACGCAAGAAAAGGCGATAAAGCCTAGAAAAATTTAAATGACGATTACCCGAAGATTCTTTTTAGTATACAAGAAAGTAGGGTATGATATGATAGACATTGGGGGAGGGAAAGGGGGCGAGGCACCATTCGTTTCTTGGCGCTCATGCGGTGTCGACGATGCGGACCGGTCCGCCATGAGGATGGAGCTGGGGTAGTGAGAGAGAGAGAGAGAGAGAGAGAGAGAGAGAGAGAGAGAGATGGCAAGTGAAAAAGAGAGGCACAAGCCTTGGCATCCGCCGGCCCGTTCTGCCCGCGGGCACACACACTAGCCCGTCCCGCTCACAACACTCGCCGGCGCCGCAGAAAAACTCTCGCAGGTCAAACACTCGGAAACTGCAGGGTAGTTCCTCAGCGAAAATTTTATCTATATAACTTTATAGTTTTTTTAAAGAACGCGAAGCTTTCCGGTGCTGGAAAAGGCGATCTTCCAGGTGATCTCGGCGACAAGCGACCCAAGCGAATCATAGATCGATTTTTTTTTACCAGCCTCCTGACAGAAGCCCTCACACCCGAACGTAATTAGCGAAAAACCGGTCGCGCTCGAACTGTCAGCAACCCTTTCGCCTTTTCTCCTGTCATTTTTAATGGTTTACCGGGTGAAACCGCGCGACGGTGGAACAATTTTTGACACTGAGCTTTGTAAGGAATGCAGAAACTTAACTCAACCCCGGGCCTCCAATTGGCTTTTCCTCGACGGAAATTTGAAAATTCGAAAATCCGAGGCGAATCTCAAATCTGGAAATCGATTGCCATCAGGCAGACCGGGCGCACATCTATGCGCATCCGAAATTCGCACGAGCGTAAAACTTGAGTGGCGCTTCGTTGATGTTGAAGTCAACCGGGAAAACTCGGCAACAAAAATGCTTGCACAACCAAATACATATTGATGATACATAATTTTCCAAAATGCACGGATAAAAAATTGGTACGAGATGCGCCTATCCACGCTAAACTGTCCATGAACGGCGTAATGTGTTTTTCTTATGTTTTTTTTGTTTCGTTTAAGTTCGTACGTTTACGAATCGTAAAAAACAGTTTAGAAACACTTTCGCTAATAATATTTGAAAAATTTGTTCTTAAAGAAAAGTTGCTCCCCCCCTGATAATTTTAATGTCCCGATTTTCGCTCCTTAATCCGAATCGTGTCCTAAAAGGAGGTGAAGTTTCTTCCTGCTGCGTGCCTGGGTGCAATCTCTGGCTAGAGTGGTGGTGTATCTTAAAACGCCCTGCCATCATTTGTCAAAAGTACGCTCTACACCCCACATCAACCATCGTGTCGACGCGGAACGTGTCGTCGTCAAGCCCTCCTTCCGTGGGTGGGCCCCCCTATAAGACTGCAGAAAAATGAAGAAGGCATCTCATATTCACATGCATATTCAATCTGCCCCCCTCATCTTGCCGGGGGGGTACCCCCTCCCCCCGCTATTTTGGCTCATAGTCTACGCACAAATGGACAAACAGACGATAGACAGACAGGCAAAGCTTAGGCTTAGACTTAGGCTTAGGTTTGGGATTAGGCTTGGCTTAGGGTTAGGCTTGGTCTTAGGCTTGGGCTTACGCTTAGCCCGAGGCTTAGGCTTCTCCTTAGTAATAATATACAGGGTGTCCCAATAAAAAAGGTCACGCTGGCATTTCGCCATTTCAAATCTGTTCGTTCTGAAATTTTGAACAGAGCTGCGGAAGGGAATTCAAAATGTTCACAGAAACTTTCAGCCCGATCGGTACAGTAGTTTTCGAGTTATAACAAAAATACTGCTTTATCAACACTTTTGCTTCCATTTTTCGGCTATCTTTTGGACTTTGCATCAATTACCATCAATTTCGACCCCAAATCCCTCATTCTTCTTAACATCGGGGATGATAACAGCTTGTTAAAATTACTTAAACAACCTATTTCCAAGACGAATTTTTCGAAATAAAAAATTTTCTGGGGTAAAAAAGAGTCGGCGCTTCTTTTTTGCCATACATTCCAAGTCTCAATTCCGGCGAAATCCAGGTTAAAAACGTAAAATAAAGTTTATTTTCGCTATAACTCGAAAACTACTGTACCGATCCGGCTGAAAGTTTCTGTGAACATTTTAAATTCCCTTCCGCAGCTCTGTTCCAAATTTCAGGTCGATCGGATTTGAAATGAGAAAATGCCAGCGTGACCTTTTTTATTGGGACACCCTGTATAGAGAAATTTTACTATTCCGAAACGCAATTTCCGTTCTTTTTGTTAACCCTATTAAAATACTGACTATTACTGACTCTCAAAATATACAAATATTCAAAATATTCACCCCCTCCCCGCCCCCCGATAATGTCACAGCACTTAAAAGCTCTACGAAATTCATGCAGATTTTTATCGTTTTTTTTTCTCTCACATATTTTCCATTCATTCTAAAGCCATTTTCCCGACATCTAAGCCAGCCTTCCCCCCGTTATTTATTCAATCTTCACTTCCAGTTAATTTTCAACCCGCACATCCCTTTTTTTCAAATTTTTACCCTGAGATCAATCTTAAAAAAAAATTTCCGATTCTATCCTGGCTACACGCCCACCTCATTATATGGAGGGGCAACCTCATCGCGCATCCCCCCTTTGAAAATGTCTATTTTAGGTAGGGTG